GGCACGCACTTGTGCTACACGTCAACTTGTTCCAGAGGTTTGGGGAAGAAGCGCCCTTGGTCCGAAGCTGGCTGGGCCCCTTCACGCGCCATGAATCCAACAAGAACCTTGGCAACTTCTCGACGAAGACATGGCGATTGCAATGTGCCAAAGCTCCAGCGATTCGTTCGAAGCTTGGAATGAGTTCTCTTGTCTCTGGTCTGTGGCGCCCACTGCATTACGTGGCCTTAATCGGGTCATGTTGCCCCAAGAACTTTCAATGTAATATGGTCCAATTAAAAAAAATGGTAGCTTTACAAGGTCTCAAGGGCTTATCCATGGATGGTTTTCTTCCACCCAATCGCGCCCTTGGAGGTCCATGCTAGTTGGAGGCGCGCTGATGGCGCTGTTCACCACCACGTCGTCCGGCTCCATGCTGGTTGTCTCCAGGCACCTGCAGCACTGGGGGAGAGCAGGCGCCATGCCCCATGCATCAAACGAACCTGGGCCATGACAATCCTTCGGTTTCCCACCCCCCCCCCAAACAAATAACAATATTAAAAATGAAGACACCTGATGTCTCCTTCAAAGTTCACGTCTGCCAAAAAAAAGCCTTCCGCTGCTCAAGATGCCACCGAACAAGATATGAGTCATGGCCACTTCCCTTTGAATTAGCAAGTAGTCAAATGGAATGTCTGCAATTCAACGGCGACGTCAGTGATGTCCCAAAAAGGGGACCCCATAATGTTTGCAACCAACGCCTCAGTCCTTTTGAGGGCATCCTTCTCGTCAAAGGAAAATCCAGGAGAACATCGGGATTAGGCTGAACCCAAGCCAAAAGCCTCCATTCCGGCAGCCCAACTGGAAGTGGAAGTGCTCCCCCCAATCAAAAAGGGAAGCCAAAGCCAGAGCCACCCCAAACCAAGGCAAACCATGGCACCTTTCCTTGGCAGTATCAACAAAGCACCGGGCACCGTTGCCACATCAAAGGTTGATCCCGCCGTCCCGGGCACCACAGGAGGCGCAGTGCCCGCTGCCACTGCGCATGTCGCTCGCAGCCGCTCACTGCGGAGCTGAAGCCTTAGAGGATCCAAACCAAGCCGCCTGGAGATCCTCCCGTGTCGGGCTCCATGTGCAGAGGCCCCATGGCAAACACGGCTAGGTTTGATGGCGTTGGATGACAGATGGATGCGATCCGCCTTTGCATGCCCCATTCCCCCAGCACAGGGAGGGGAGGGGACGGGCCACTGGGGATGGCGAGGTACAGCACATAGGCGATCCAAGTGTGTTTTTTGTTCTTTTTCTTTTCTGAAGATGTCCGATTGGATGTTAAGGCTCTGGGCGCAGTAGGAACTAAAAAGCACTTGAACCAATGGTTTCTGGCAAACCCATCCACTTTTGAAGCAACTTGGCCGCATTGCAGCGATTCAATCGCAAGATTGCATGCGCTGCTCTTTCCCGAGGCAACTTTCGAAATGGAATCTGCCTTAACCACTGCATTTCATTGGAAATACGGAGCATCTCAAAAGGGGAACCCATACACTCCAGAACACTAAACAACAGCTTTCGGGATGGGATCGCTTAAGCCACAACAGGCAAATGCATCCGCAACACGCACACAGACACACCCCCACCCCAATTTAGCACGTCCAATAGAACATGTCCTTTCAGGTTTTGGGGCAGTTCCCCCCATGAGAGGATGCTACTGAAAGGGTCCTCCTACACGCCCCCCATTTCGCGCCCGGAGGCTGACCAGAAACGCGCAGCCCGCGGACCGCGCCGCCGCCAGCAGCGCCAGGGTCCAGGGCCAGCCGTGCTTCACGACCGCCAGCGCGGAGCCGTAGCCTGAGCTGGGGGGTGGCTCCCTCCGCTCGGCCGCCCTTGAAGCACCGAAAAACCGGGGTCGCCATGTTGAGAAACACCCAACCAAGTCTCGCGGAAAAATGTGGTCACCCCTTGCGGGCAAGCCTGGGTCAAGGGCTTCAGGGTTTTGCATCGCTCAGGGCTTGCAGCTCATCTGCCATCTAACATGAAACCTGCATTGATTCGTGCTGCTGGGATGGTCAAGGACGCCCCGCTCAAGGTTTGGGTTGGGACCCCAACGACTCCTGCCTTCTGGGTGCTTGGGGAGTCCTGGAAGCTGCGGCATATCTCTCCCATGGCCCGAATCGCCGCATCTGGCCCAATGGATCGACCCATCCGAGCGGCTCACCGCGTCTGCCAGGCGCGCCTGCTGGGCGCGCCGCAGCAGCAGGGCGGCGCCCGGCCAAACTGCGGCGGCCTCAGCCAGAAATGAGCCACTGAGCCAAACTCTCTGGGTGTGGGGCTGGAGCTTTTTGTACCTCGGTCAATTTATGGCAGGGAGAACGGAAAACGGCAACCCCCCACTTTGAGGGGCCAAAACTGGGGGTGTGCATCGGGGTGGGGGGAGCAGATTTATGGCCAAAAAGGGGCTCGAATCAACCATCAAGCCTTGCCACGCTGGGCAGTTCGCCCATGCTTTGAGTGCTCAATCGGAATGCGGAGAGTTCAAGAAGCTCAGAGCCTTTGCAAATTGTTCCATGCGTGCGATACACATTCAAAATATAGTGCAGCTATTAGCAATGGGCAATTTGCGTGCCTGCGTTCCTTAGAGCCACGAGAGGTCTCTCAATGCACGCTACGAAAACGGACCGGATCGCTCCAAGCCGCACGGATCGCCACGTTGAGTGTCACCGCATTTAGCTGCTGCCCCTGGCGCAGGAAAAATGGGGGCAAAGGGGCAGGCGCTTCTGGGTGCCAGCTGGAACACAGAAATGCAAGGTGCCGATTGATTTTTGTATTTTTGATATTTTTGTTTGTTTTTTTTCCTTGGGGGGGATACCAGGCCATGGAGTTTAGTGAGCTTTTGGCCGGTCGATTCTGGCGGATGCCATTTTGTCCCCGCAAGCGAACTTGCAAACGCAAGCGCCCGGCAAACCTCCTGGTTGCAAACCAAGATGGGTAAAACCGCCCAAAGCTTCAAACAATGTATATGATGATGTCACTTCAGGTGCAAACATGGGCATGTCACCTCCGTCTCTGTACGCGAATCGGCGACGAAGCAACTGGAATCAGTTACGTAGACACCAAACTGAAACCCAGGCCGAGTCCTCCCAAAATAAACCGAAAAGGCCCGACTCAGGTCTAATGATGGGGAAACCGGGCGAGAGGGTGGATCCCTTGATTTCCGTTGGGGAATGTTCGACTCGACTTAGGCCTTGCTTGAGCAAACCAAACACTGCAACAGGTCGACTTTTGGCAAGTCGGTGAAAATGTGTGATTTCCCCTCGCGCCCAGCAAGAAAAAGCGACATGTGGACAAGCCACTTCCCAGCGCACCGCAAACAGTCCCCGCAATTTGCAAAGAAGCCAAAACGCACTTCAAAAGCAACCTAGAAAGAGGAACCGCTCTTTGACCAATCGTGCTGCTCTTGATAAAGGAGAAGCCCCGTTCTGGACACCCCGCAGCTCCCTTTTGGCGACAGGGCAAGCAGCGTTTCCCATCGTGAGATGTTCGCCCCCCGAGTGAGGGGGCTCTTTGCGGGACCCGCACCTTGGTTGGCGCTTGTCCACCTGGGAAGGGTCCGCCTTCGCAAATTCATGCATTGCATCCGGGCCGGGCCTTGCGGCGCGTCCTTTGCCAACTCCTTTTCAAGAAGTCGACCTCCGCTCGAGGGCAACCACCCGAAAAAGGTAGTCGAGTCTAAGGACAGCCCTCGCATGCTCCGGCCCCGCTGCCTCACCCCGCGTCTGGAGGTGCGCAGGCAAATTCAAAGGCTGGCAGCATAACTTCCAGCCGGCGCCAGCAAAACCCACTGTGTCGAAAACAAAGAGGCCAACAGGCAATGTGACAAACAAGACAAGCAACCGGCGGACGGACCAAAGGTTCAAACGAAACATCTTTTGCAATCAACTGCTCTCATTGATCTGAAGTGGGCACGCCGTGTCTGACTGCACTTTAAATAGAAATGTCTCCGGGTTCGGAGACTTCTCCCGACTTCTGCGGGGACTCCAACACATTCGTCGCAGACACCGCAGGGGCAAGGAACATGCTGCCATGCTCGCGCCAATAGTAGACCGGGGTCAGCAAGGCCCACAACATCACATAGGCCGCGTGAACTTGGAAGGGCAGCAGTGGATCCTCGCGAAATTCCCGTCAAGACTTGAAGGTGTTGCCGTGCCGAGAAGGGGTTGAGTACAGCAACCCGTCTGCAAGCAAGCAGGCTCGCAAGTCCCTTGCGGCCTGTGCCAGTCATTCCGCAGATTCTGCAATCTTAGCCCAAGCGAGCTCGCCAACATGTTGTGCAAATGTGTTACTCACAAGGGGCAAACAAATGGCAAGCAAATGGCAAGCAAATGTCAAACTGTGCCTGTCTCTTCCGACCCTAACCAACTGAAATGCGTTATGCTGGTAAAGTCACTTTTTGCCAGGTCGATCTAAACATGCATATTCATGAAACTGGGGATCGGAAACACTTGCCCAGTGGTCATGGTTTTGCTGCTCAAGGGGTTCCATATTTTGCGACCCCAACACGCAAAGGCAAACGCAACCCCGAACAGTTTTCTCAAATGAGATTCCCTGAGCATGTTCGCTACCCAGTCCCAAAGCAACTGGTGACCCGGGAAGAAAATAATTGGAGCCATCTTTTTGCGGGGTTGGCTCGGGTTCATTAAGGTGGAATCCACTGAACTGGGGAGATGTTTCCATCAGTGTCAGCAAACAACACACCGCTTCTAAAAACCAAGAGCCAGTTGGTCAGTCCGAGCATCCAAACATGAAAACCAGCCTGTAAATCAAAACAAGCTGTAAATAGAAGCAACCTATAAACAACAAAATAATTCAAACAAGCAGCAACCCTCCAAGCCCCTTGTTAGTTCGGACTCCTCGATGGGCCGGTAGAAGCAAAACCCCGCGAGCACGGCCCCCATGTTCCCGCCAGCGCCCACCAGCGCGGAGACCACCGCCAGCTGGTTTGGATTCATGAAGGGCACGATGGCAAAGCCTCACCCCCCGCAAAAACCAACAGGGGTGGGGGGGGGTGGGGTGGATGGTGGATGGTGGGGTGGGGTAGGGTTGGGTAAAAAATAGTAAAAGGAGAATTCAAAGAATTATTCTTTCTACTATTTTTCCAACAGCAACACAACAAACAGAAAACAAAATCCAGAACAACAAGCAAACAAAATAAATAATCACAACCAGCAACAAAAATATTTAATCACAGCATACAACATTAAATAATTCAAACAAGCATGCCAACAAAACAGCAACACTCTAAATCATCAAAGAACCCAAACTCAAAAACACACATCAACAAAAAACAAAGCAACATACCAACAAAAAATATCACAAGAGTATCAAACAAAACAAAAACAAACAGCCAAAGCACGAAAAAATTCAAGAAGCATACCAAGTCTAAACAACGCACTTTGAAAGAGATAAGCAAATTAGGAAAATATAATATTTCAATCTTTACAAACGATAAATATATTACAATTATAACATATAATATGTTACATGTGATAATCATAGTATGATTATAATTTTAGTTCAGGATAACTATTTAATTGATACATCTTACTTCTTTCATACATCATTTAAAATAATGTTAATATCTCTCACTGTATTTTTAACATTAAACTTTTCACTTTCAATATATGTTTTGATAGCTTCCTTTATGTCCTCTTCTTCGCTTCTGCGATTTACTAACATCCTCAATATGTCATTAATCATTTCATACTTTTTCTTACTGATTTTCATAAATGCTCTAACATAATCATAAGGTGGGATATTGTAAACAGCAAGAAATATTAAGATGTCATCTTCAACATTTCTATTATTTCTTCTTTTTATTCTCAACGCACAATTCATTATAGCTTGAGTATCTCTCCATTCCTGACAAGTTCTACATTCGTCTTCTTCATCCATTGAATATTTAATAATATTATTCACTATTTCATTAGATAAATTCAATTTATGCAATTCCATATTTTCTTTTTTGAAGTGACAACAATCATAGCATTTTTTATTGATATAATTATTGATTTTATCACCGTTCATTTTCCTCTTAATATATTAAGTCAATATTTCTTTAAGTCGTGTTCAAAGAATTTATTTTATAATGGCCGTAAGCAAGTGAGTTTATACTATCTATCCAATATTTTTTGTTTTCATAACTACTAAGAGCATTTTTTTAGTTGTTATACTAAAAATTCTGTGGTTTTTACTTCTAATACTATTAAATGACTTATGTATAACCTCATTAGTTTTTAAAACCGTCTCAAACTCTTCATATTTCATTTGACGTCTTACTGTGCCTTTTGCTATGCCCTTACATTTCTTATATTTTTTATCATCACCATAAACTGAGTAAGCATAGCATTTAGGACGAAGAGCTATAAACCCTGTTATTATTTTACTTTTTAATTCATCCTTAAATTTACCTAATACTTTCTTGTTATTATCATCATAACATTTATGTTCCTTAGGATAATCTGAAAAATCTAATTCTTTTTTAATTGTATTCAGGTCTTCATAAATGTCATTGGTTTTAGTATGAAATACAAAACTATCAGTATCAGTATATACCATTTTAATATTATCTCCATATTTAGGCTTCATAACGTCATAATAAAATTTATACATGTGTTGCTTACTCAAATCTAAAATACTCATCCCAATAAATATAGGTTTGTCTAGTTTCAACTTTGTTTTTTGCTTTTCAACTCCAACCAAATTTTCATTAATGATATGACTATGTTTGAAGTTAGGATTACTTACACACTTCATATATCTAGTTTCATCACTCACAACTTCAAAGTCTAAATGTTTTCGCTTATCCTCCATTGTTTTTCCAAATATGGCATTGTTCATCAATTTGTAAACATCTTTCTCAAAATCATTTCTAGCATTCTTCCTCTTCTCAGTGTTAAACTCAATGTAAGGTTTTAAAACTTCTTTTTGTTCAAATTTAATTGCTCTATGAATTGTCTTAAGTTTTAACCCTTGCTTCAAATAAAATTGTAAGGTTCTTATATGGATTACATATTTTCTTTATCATTTAAATTCAATACTAATTTATTTGTTTTCTCATCCGTAGGTTTTTTATGATTTAAAAATTCATAAATTTCAATTTGTTTATCTGACAGCATGTCGGCTTTAACATTCATAACCTCAGGTGCCATTGGATAGTCATTGTGTAAATCGTGTAATTCTTTAGGATATTCTAAATCCACTTCTAGAATATATCCAATATTATTATTTTTGTAATTAATAATGTCTTCTTCTTTTAATGTATCATCCCATTTTAGATTTTTATATGGCAGTTTTTGTATCATGCTTAACCCATACAAATTATTAGCATCAAAATAGTTAATATAACTATTTTCTTTATTTTTATCATATTCTTCTCCCATGTATTTATTATTTGCTTCAACTTTTTTAGTAGAAACCATACACATCCCGCCTCTAAGTCCCGCTTCTATCATTTCATACATTTCTTGGTCATATTAAATCAATCTCTACACCAGTCATTTTAAGCATAGCATCAAAAGCAAAGTTAGGCAATGTATAATAATAAGCAGGGTCCAATCCATAATATTTCATACATACATCTCTAAAATTTTCGAAAATGTCAGTCAATAATAATACATCAGTTTTCAAATATAAATCATGGTATTCACCCATATTTTTAATGTCGAAATGCTTCCATATAATTTTTGCCCTTTCATAGTCGTTAACACTTATACCTTCTTCACTCAACTGACTATAAAAATCATCCTTACTCGGTAATTGCTCATCATCAAATTTATCAAATGAATTCATGTAGTCATAAGGATAAACGCCTTTGTCAGTTAATAAATCTAAACATTTCTCACTCTTAATCATATCGTTTTTACTGCTATATCTGAAATTATCTTGCCAGTTATGACGCAATAACCATTTACTTTTATCTTCTTCATCTGTATTATCATACTTACTCATTGAAACTAACTTATCTAATGAAGCAGTTAAAAACCCAAAAGTGTCTTTAACACTCAAACTTTCAAAACTGATATTAATAAATTTTTCACTGTTCTGAGCGATGACACCTATTTTATTGTTGTTACTTAATTTATCCGCATTTTGAATAATTAAATGACCGTCATAATTTTTCATGTTATGAAAGAATACAGGAATTTTAAAATATCTATTACAAAAATTAAGATTGCAAACATTATGAGCACAACCTCTATACTTACCTGTAAAATGACAATGGTCGCGGACCTTCTGATATTTATCAGAAGAGTAGCTTGGAGGGCTTCGCCCTCCATCTCTAACTTTTCTATATTTCTCTGCTTCCTTGGCATTCTTATAGTTCATTCTAAACTTATCCCCACAAATAAAGCAGTTTTTAGCATGTTTAAAATCTTCTTTGTCTTCATCAGTCATGTCTATTTTTTTGTTTTCTCCCATCTTCTCCTTTACTTCTGCCCTAATCTCATTAAGTTTTTGACAAAACACATCAACAGCATCTTTACCACGATACATAAATTCATAATTTGTATTATCAACAGCATTAACCATATTAAGCATAAAACCACATGGTTTATGCTCTTGATAAGAAAAAGTGTTTTTATCTTCATCTTCATCAGGCTTTTTCAGTTCCTCTGTCAAACATTCAAAATCGGCATATACAACAAAAGGACACCTTAACTTTTTGAAGTGATGCTTAAAACTCACTTTCTCATAAGGCTTAGGCATTACTATCTGTTGTCCTTCAACTTCCATGCATCCACTATCATAATGTTTATTTAATAATTCTTCATGTCTAAATCCATGATTACAATATTTACAAAAATAGGACTTGCCATTATGATTACTTTTTTGATTATTAATAAGTCTGCTCAAACTTTTTATATACACATAATGACTGCAATCCTCATCATCAACTCTTAACAAATCAAAATGAAAAGAAGCATCTTTATTTTTCAATTTTCTACTAATAACAATATGTTCATCATCATCAATTTCATAAACATTAATGGATATTGATTTATTATTTTCTTCAAATATATCTATATCATTATTATTAGCAGGAAAACTCACACCATCAAAAATCAAATCACTTTCTATCTTCTTGTAATGAAACATCTTTTCAGGGTGTGCTTTATCACAAATTTTACAGTATCCACACTCAATAGAATATTTAAAACACTTATCATCTTGATTTTTAATATTGATACATGCCTTTTTCTTTTTAATCCATTCTGGAAGTTCAATATATTTGCCAGCTCTAGTCGGATTATATTTATTATACATGATATGAATATTATTAATATTGCTAATTATTAATCCTGACTGATACAAAGCCATATCTAAAATTCTTGTTTCAACATCAGGTCTCATTCTTTTCAAAGCATTCCTTAAATCCTCTTCATTTACAATAGTGTACGACCTTGTCCTAACTGTAACGTTTCTCTCCTCATCAAATAAGTTCATAACTTTCATATTTATTGTAGCATTAAGTTTCATTCCTCTATTCTCTTTCAAGTATTCATTAAGTTTGTCAAATTGATAATTAAAATAAGTCAATCCGTTCAACTCTTTTAAATGAATGTTTGAAATTGTGTAGGCGTTGGCATATGCTCTAAAGGCGCTTCTTTCTTCTGTTATTACCGCTTTTTTCTTAATAGCATGTTTTAAAAACCGTTCTTGCTCCTACTCTTTCTCTGATTTGATTTGCTTTGTAGTCATTAGTTTTCTTTACTGCTTCAAGTCTCTTACTCAATCTATTGCTTATTGGTTTTTCTGGATTATATCTATACTGATTGTTTCCTATAATTATGGTTTTAAGTTTTTTACCTTTATTATTTACTTTGTATTCTCCTAAATTTTCTTTAAGAAGATAATTAACTATTTTAGTGTTTTCATCTGGCGGTAAATCTCTATTCATATTATTATCTATATAATTTAATTAGGTTTTTTCTCTTTAAGTCTTTTTAAA